CCTTTACATTTTGCTACTGCTTTCATGGACACAGAAGTTCATTCACTATTCCCCAAATTTTTAATGGTTATTTAGGTAAAATACGATTTCAATGTTTTTCAATACAAATAAATTGTTTGTCTCAGTAATTACGTGTGTCAAACTTTGTGTTGCACACCCACAGTTTTGAGGCTGTTGAGGGTCACACACAGATCACCAACCCCTGATGACGCCATGGATATGCCCCGAAGCCTGCCGTTCCCTCCACTCATCAACTCCACCTCCGATCAAGGGATGAAGGCAGAGTAAAATGTCATACTGTGTGCTTTCATGCTGAATACATCCCTCATCCCTTGTATGAAATAGTCGTTGGGACAGTGAAACTGAGAGGGGAGTTAAACTGAACAAGGATAAGTGTATTTCAAGCCAAGGTCTTATGCCAGATCCAGTGAAAGTCACCGCCATCATCAACATGGAGGAACTGCTTATGATCCTTGGAATGGTGAACTACCTTGCCAAGTTTGTGCCCAATTTGTCCAACATCGCAGCGCCACAACAGATGTTATCAAAGCAAGATGCAGCGTGGCACTTGAATGCTACACAGGATCAAGCCTTCAGTCATCACAAAACCATGTTGTCACATGAACAGGGACCAGTACTCCAGTACTTCAACCAAGAGGGGGTTGGTCACAAAGCGATTGTAGGCTAAGATCATTGTAAGCTACAATCGAAACTTACAATTGGTCCGGACCAATCATAAGTAGCTAAGATCGTTGTAGTCCTTGAATAAACTTGACAAAATGGCGTGCAAGACTTGGTCTTATTCACATAAATAATCTGCTTTAAGTTCAAACATTGCCTCTTTATTTTGTTTAACTTTATGATTCGAATCGACACTTAAACAACATGAAGAACGCACCACAGATTTAACGTCAGGAATATCATTAATTGGGACAGTTAACCACATAACTATCGAGGCGATAGCTAAAAGGAATATTCCCATCCGACTAAATGCTAAAAGAAGTGTGAAACAACATACCTTTTTGCTAAACAAGGGAAGGATAAATACCTAAGTCGTCTGCAAGCAATTCATAACATCCTTGACCTTTTGGATAAATCAAGGGCAGTTAATCTTAGTTTATACTCTAGATGGAAGTGGTTTCCCTTTGTATAAGCCCGTAGAGTACAATCTACCATACCCAGTACGTGTCTTAATGTTGTTGAATCACTAAGCTCCCCCTATGTTTCTTTTGGGTCAAATTCAGTTATTTTGTCTTTCGTTTATCATGAAATTAATCTACAAATAAACACAACTTGAAGAGCAAAATCATACATGTTTAAATCTAAAATCAAGTGGGATGGGACAAGCATTTTTTATATCTAAATTTAAAAGAATGAAAGTACAAGTATTCATAAAACAAGCAAATACACATGTTGAGACATTTGAAATTTATGTGAAATATCCCATAAATAGCAAACGTTAATATCACACTTTTTTTTAAAATAATTATCAATATAATTAATACCCAGTGAATATATATTAAACAACTGCATTCTCGAAACATTATTCATTATTCTTATTTCCCGTCCATGCATTCTTGAAATCCTCTGTCTTTCTGTGTTTTGAAAAGGTAGTCATAACATCCTTTGTTGTAGCAACGAAACGAAAACATGAAGGATATGTATTTATGTGTTATGTTTTTAGGAAATATTGTTATTAATATATATTTTACTTTTTATGATAATTGTGTTACTAAACAATGTATTTATTCGTATTTCAATACTTTTAATAAAAGCATGAGTAGGTATTTTTCTAGTTGCAATAGAAAACAATTCCTAAATCATGTCAGTATTTATGCCAACAAAAAATATATGCCATCATTCTAGTAATCGTTTCCTTTAAATAATTGGGACCTTGAAACTGTGCAAAGTGTGATGGAGGGAGGTACGTGTTGTGTGTCGTGACTGGTTCCACTTATTGTATGTGCAGCAAGCTATGCGCGTTTGCAGACAAGTTTTTCCACTGTTGAAGATTTCAGTCTTAGCTAAGATCGCGATCTTAACTCCTAGCTGTCTTACAATCTCGCCAAGATTTGTTTGTTTTTTTGTACGTCACGGCATTCCCACAGTACAGCTCAGTCCCAAGCTCTGACACATTCAAGAAGTTTGCTGAAGCGTGGAACTACAGCCATTTCACCTGTAGCCCAGGCTTCCCAACATGCAATGGTTTGGCAGAGAAAACATGTAAACTGTAAGAGGCTGTTCACCATGTCCAAACAAGACAATCAGGACCCATAGCTGGCTCTGCTAGAATACAGGAACACCCCAGTTGACAATATGGCATCCCACGCTCAGATGAGCATGAGTCGTCACCTCAGATCCATCCTCCCGTCAACCCTCAAACAGCCACAGTCACAAATCGTCGATAGCTTAGATGACGGGGAGAAATTACTCAACAAACAGCAAAAGCAAAAGTTATTCTACGAGAAAAACGTTGCAAGCTCTAAAAACCCCGAACAGAATGCCATGGTTCACATGCAAACACTGTCTGGCAGGTGGCAGCCAGCCAGAGTAATCCAAAATATAGATACTCCAAGATCATATCTAGTCCGCACAGAAAACGACGTCTCTCAAACCCTCATTAAGTTCTACTTGCATTTACATTTATAGAAACGTTAAGTTCATATCTGCTCAGTGCTGAGTGCTGAGTGCAGTATTATATAGTTTGTCATACTCTGTTAAGGCACAAAAGTTCAACATGACTCCTGAGTCCCAAAAGGACTTTGTTTCGATCCAGTTAATAAAGTTGTTAAATGGAGCTGACAATCGCAGACGTGTTGTACATTCTACTTGATATATTAACAAGGTCTCTCCATAACTGTAATCATCTCCGCAGGAGACATATGTTATATCTAAAGAAGAGAGATGTCATGAGTTTAATGCATGGAGCCTCATTGTAATTAGGAGAACGTTGTGCCATACATGTATGAATTCTATGATGCACATGATATCATTAAATGTTGAAACAATGCAAACAACGAACATTACACTCCAGTGCAAGGATGTGCAAAGCACTGACTCCTGTCCCCCCACCCCAACCTCCACACCCACACCCCATTTGTCTGCTGAATGGATTGATTCCAGTCGTAATGTGTGTGACATACGTCATCTGCAGCCGCAACCAATCAGTGGTTAGCATCTTTCTGACGTCACCATTGATGTGTTGTTATTTGTATTTCCTGAAGGTACACACGACCTCCTACCGTTGGATACAGACTTATGCATAATAAATGCAGGATAAGTAAAAAATATAAGAATATCAAAATATATTCTCTATTTAATACTTAGCCTGCATTTCATGTCTCACTGCCCTCCCTTGGAGAACGTCTTCCTCCCTACTCTTATTTCGGATGGGCTCAAGAAACTCAATGACCACAGTGGGGCATGGGAGGTAACTCCAGGAAGCGTTCATTGGGATACTTCTAGTTCAACAAGTTTATTCATATCAAGAATACAATCCTCTGAGTCTTCTTTCCATGGATACTTTCAACCTGAAAGCAACAATATGCATGCATAATGTAATGCAAGCTAAGTATTAAATAGAGAATATATTCTGATCATTTTTCTATATCCTTTATTGACGACATATCTTTTGCATCATAATGGTTTCATGTGTAGAATTAATCCTTACAAGGCTAGCTTAAGTTTCTTTATGGGTGCCCAATGTGCTGCAGACAATGTTTAATGATATACAGCATGTTACTTTGTTGGTAGGAAATAATTGGTGTATCCTAAATTACAGTGGACTGAGGCATTCCACTTCACGCAGTATCTATCTTCACACCATGTTGTTCCAAAGTTGAAATGCAAAAGTTACCCCAGAAATCGTTAAGTACAGAACTAAATTGTAAAACCAGTAAATGACCACACAAGATCAATGAATAATTAGTAAATTTAACATGTTCATGCACTGAATTTTGTCAAGAATTTTGTCTGTCAAATGTTTTGAAACCTTTAGCCTGTCTCTGGTCTTGAATCCAGAATAGTGTTGAAAGCTGGCAGGAATGTGGTATTTTCAGATCCAATTCCCGATTGGCAAGTAAATAAGTCAGGTCTTGAGTTGCCCTCCTGTAACTCTTAAAAAGGTTCTTCCAGCCTACTAGTGACTGTCACGAAAGTTATCAAATGACCAAATCTGCCATGTTAGTGAACAACCAGGGAAGGCAACTAAATGCCTCTCATTCGCTGCCACCGACAGCGCTGAACATTTACCAGCGTTTCAGTTATCTGCTGCCACATACAATCACTACAAATACACTTACAACAATCTCTTCTATCACATGACACTCTCCCATTCAAGAGAAGAAAGTTTGAACACAGAGAAAACATTCTTTAAAATGGGCAATTTCATGGAGAAAGCTCCAAATTCCAACAAGAAATGAGACAGGCTTGTTACAAGGCACTGAACAGTGACAATATTCTGGACATTCTTTAGTGCGTTGACAAATATTATACAGCCTGCTATTTTTTGCTGCTGCTTCTTATTTGACACATTGTATTTCCTTTTTTATTGTAAACCTTAATAAACCTCCTTGAATATAATTTGCTGATTGTTCATCGATCTTGTGTGGCTACTTTTCATTTTCACAATTTAGCTCTGTACACTTTGATTCCTGGGTTAACCTTTGCGTTTCAATTTGGAAATCACCTCGTAACAATTTGCTAAGACCAAATCAAGGTCACGAGATAAAAAATCTTTTTTAAAAGTTAATGGTTACACTTTGCCCAAAACTTTCAATGCATTCATAATTAACTTACCGTCTTTAGAATCGGGCAAAAAAAGTAACAGGTCACGGTCAGCGTAAGATTATTGTAAAACATGGTCACATCATTATCTGTTTTTGGGGGCATGGCTTGGCTATCTATATATTCATGCATGAATCATTACAAACATCTATAGTTATATTACATTTCAAGCTGTATTTTTCAGTTTGTCTTCTTTCTTTTTTTGACATTATTAGTGGTCCTTTGTACAAACTCCTAACTACCAATCTTGGAGGAGAGAGGAGATTCGCTGCTGCTGTTGCTCGCAGATTACAATCACTGGGTAGGTTAATGTATGTTGTTCTTTTATCAGCTCATCTGAGAGACAATCAAGTGAGTTTGTGTCAGGGTCTTGTTTGTCCTGTGTTCAAGCATGTATCACAGACCAAATCAACCATTTTGAGAAACCTTTTTGTGGCCATTAGTCAACAACTCTCTTGAATGAAATTTGGTACATGGGTCATCCTCGGAAAATGTCACATTTCCAAATGACATCAATATCTTAATATTTTCATTTGAAAGCAGAATTATTGTAATATCATTAAAATATGACCGTTTGAGGAAATCACACAGTAATACACATAAGTATACAGAGTAACAAAAAGAAGAATAATTCTTGCAAATATCCTAGCTCTGTAACATCTCGGCCATAAATTTTGTATTTTGGCGGTATCATCTTCAGATTTTCAACAGAAGTGCCCTTTAACTTTTTCAACACCATAGGCCGGTTTTCCGGCCAAGAAGCATCGAGTCCCCTGACACCGTAGGTCGGTTAACCGGCCAAGCCGTAGTCACGTCAAAATAGTATATATTTTTATGGACCTACCTGTAATATCATTCATTTATTAAATCTATCACATTTCACAATGTCTGAAATACGTATTCCATTTCAGTTTATCATTTTTTATCGATAAATTAAAAAAATATTCACTATTTCCCGCGATGTTATTGAAAATAAAATTCTCGGACACACATTTCGACAACGGGTCCACATCGAACATGTCAAAGAGCAAAATAAAGACGTTTTAAACAAATCTTTAAATATATTATACAAAGTAATAAATAAAATCAACAAAAATATATCTAAAAGTAATGAAACTTACATCTAAGTTATTATTTCCCTCTTTTCGTGCGATCGCGTGTAATGTAAGTCAAATGACATCTCGGCTTTCGTCGCCTTGAATTCTTGGCTCGGACACGATGTTTAATGCAAAAATATATGCATGAAAAATCGGCAAGAAAGCGTCATTAGAAACCAATTTTAATCTAATGAAATCGCTTGTTATAACTACGAAAAAACCCAGGTGATGTTACGAGCGTGTAGATGAAGGAATAAGCTTTCCAGCGATGTGTCATATGCCATTCTTCGACGAATGTTATTCATACGAAACCTTGAAAACGGGTATTTCTTCATGTTACTGAGCGGACAGCCGCTGTTATCGAAAAATGGGTGATGACAGAAACTATTTATAATTCTTTTTAAAATGATTTTCCAATTACGTAAACAATAAAAATAAAACAGAAATAGGTAAGTGTATTTTATGAAATCTTATATTTGCTGAAAATCGTCAAGTTTTCGCTTCCTTGGTCCTTAATCTGGATGTTAAAAACGTGTAAGCTTACATTTTTTTATTTACAACGAACTTAATTAAGTTGTAAATGCATTATTTTAAACAATGTGAAAAACATAACTTTCATATTTATAAACCATAGGATCAGACCTTTCAAATGGTGCATAACATGTAGTAGCAAATATATTTTAAAAGCAGATATTTTCTTTGATAAATGTTGGCTTCATCTATCACACAAGAGTCTCTGGGAACTCAGTGTCCCAGCAGTAAACATTTCTGGTTGACTGGTGTTGAAAGAGTTAATGTCAACTGTCTGTATAACGTTGTACAGGAAATAGTATCCTGCTGCCTAATGCTTTTGTGCATGCCCAAGGCAGGAAACCTCAATTCTTTTGTGTGTGTTGTAGACTGTAAACATCGATTATTATTTTTTGTCATGCACCCACGCAAAAACCCTACCCTACCCTACCCTGCCCTGCCCTACCCTACCACGCACACACACACACACATGCACGCACACACATGCACACACACGCACACACATGCACACAATTTCGCCTCACAAGTGTTCATTGTCTATCTGGACTTATCTTTGTAATGTATTTTATGAATTTCTTTTCAAATGTAGGGATTTTGTATGTGTTGGTGATGTGACGGGCCTTATAGACAGGGTTTATAAATTAGCATTAATTTATTTCCTTATATGCAGGATCACTTTATTCGCTGCCAAGAGAAGAACAAGATGAAGAAGTTTATTCTCGTGAATCACAGCTAGTGACCCAAAGAACATACAGCTCTTACATGAAGCTGATGATTGATATGTCATTTACAAAATACATGATTAAACATCACCGTAATATATTAATACATACATAGACCTTCTCTGATATATTTAGCTGCTGGGGCGGTGGGGTAGCCTAGTGGTTTAAGCGTGAAGACTCAGGTTTGATTCCCCACATGGGCACAATGTGTGAAGCACATTTCTGGTGTCCCCCGCCGTGATATTGCTGGGATATTGCCAAAAGCAGTGTAAAACCATACTTACTCACTCACTTTTTAGCTACTTTTATTATCAGTTGCTTGTAAATACATTGCATAGGAAAATAAATGTTTCTTGAGTTGGGTATTTAGAGAAATATTGAGGTAACATGAGATTCAGAGCAAATAGTTAGTGCATTTCGAAGATCGTCCACTGATTCAGCAAATATGATGGCATCATCCGCATATACCGGTAATAGGATAAGAAGTTTCATATGTATTCAAGTTAGGTCATAAGGAATATTTTCTACAGAATTAAGGCCATCAAAATTATGTTCCATGAAAGAGTCGTTCACATACAGTGTAAAAGAAAATGGTGACAAGTTTTCACCTTGTCGAACTCCAATATTCAGCCATCCTAAATGAACTGTGCAACTATGTCACTTCTCATTATTACTGTTTTTGTCAATGACTTATTCCGAGTTAGATGACCTTGGATATAAAAGCCTTGGTCTGGAGATGAAAAATACACTCTCCCTGAACGTTAAAAATGTCCAAGGTTGACACTGATGAATGTAAAATGTTAAATCATAAGTCACTGAAAAAGAAAACCCAATCTCCTTACTATCAGTAGCTATCACTAATATTCAAACTCCCTGGGACAGCTGGTGCCATATATACACTGATGGATCTAAGAATCCTATCAGCAACACTGCTGGTTAAGGGATCTACATCGATAGCTCTAAACCCCAAGCACATTCGGTCTGCCTGTCAGAGGGTCTGTCAGTATTCACTGCTGAATTTGAGCCAATTCATCATGTGCTCAAACTCATACCGGACAAAGGCGGTCATCTTATCAGAGGGGCGGTCGGGTAGCCTAGGGGTTAAAGCGTTCGCTCGTCACGCCGAAGACCCGGGCTCGAATCCCGACATGGGTACAATGTGTGAAGCCCATTTCTTGTGTCCCCCGCCGTGATATTGCTGGAATATTGCTAAAAGCGGCGTAAAACCAAACTCACTCACTCACTCATCTTATCAGACTCGCTAACAGGAATTTCTTGTTCATCCGATGGAATCTGTAAGGAAACTGCAAGCTGCTGTCACGATGGGAGACTGGTCAATCAATTTGGATCTTCTGGATGCTATCTCTATGTACCTATTCATCCTGGATCCCGTAAATATTTCCAGTTTGCAGTAAACAGACACTTTTACGAATTTCAAGTTGTTCCATTTGGCATATTGATCAATCGTTTACAAGGAAACAGACCTGATCATCAGGTTTGCACATATGCATCTAGTTCGGCTACACAGGTATATAGACAACTTCATATCAGCATAGGAATCAGCTCCTGTAGAAAACAGTTCATCCAACTGATTTTGCATCTGGGTTTCCTTGTTCATCCTACCAATTCCAAGGTCAGAGCCAACAGAGGATACAGTGAATGTTGGGGCTCAAGATTCTGTAAGATCACCAAAATTGGATGTCCTCGTCTATTTCCCGCCAAACCTGAATTGGTGGAATTCAGGGAATGTAATGATGGGAATTCCTTTAGTTTTTCCATCCCCTTTTTACAGTCGCCTCCAGCTCAAGATGGGTAGCATGAGAAGGATCTTCATATCAATTGCATCAAGATGAGGGCAACCTGCTGAGCCCTCGAGACATGGAGTCATTTCTTGACCATTTGATCTTGGTGGCTACAGACAACCCCACAGTGGTAGCATATGTCCAGAGACAAGAGGAAACAAAGTCAGTGAGTTTGATGAAAGAGACGTCATTTTTCTTTGCCTTGGCAGACTTGATCTGCTGCAGGATGAAGGCTCATCATATTCCCATGCAATACAACATCTTGGCAAACAGTCTTTCCCGGAGGAACAGGATTATGGTGTCAGAATAGTTTCTCTATTCAAAGGTATTCAAGTGCATAATGTGGGCATGGGATACTCCTTAGCTGTATTTATTTTCTACTTGCCTCTACAACAAACTCCCAGGCTACATCAGTCAAGCTCCAGATTCATAAGCGCTACACGTAGATGCTTACAGCATGGAGCTTTATCAACCAGCCTTACAGCATGGAGCTTTATCAACCAGCCTTACAGCATGGAGCTTTATCAACCAGCCTTACAGCATGGAGCTTTGTCACTCAGCCTTACAGCATGGAGCTTTATCAACCAGCCTTACAGCATGGAGCTTTATCAACCAGCCTTACAGCATGGAGCTTTATCAACCAGCCTTACAGCATGGAGCTTTATCAACCAGCCTTACAGCATGGAGCTTTGTCACTCAGCCTTACAGCATGGAGCTTTATCAACCAGCCTTACAGCATGGAGCTTTATCAACCAGCCTTACAGCATGGAGCTTTATCAACCAGCCTTACAGCATGGAGCTTTATCAACCAGCCTTACAGCATGGAGCTTTATCAACCAGCCTTACAGCATGGAGCTTTATCAACCAGCCTTACAGCATGGAGCTTTATCAACCAGCCTTACAGCATGGAGCTTTGTCAACCAGCCTCACAGCATGGAGCTTTATCAACCAGCCTTACAGCATGGAGCTTTATCAACCAGCCTTACAGCATGGAGCTTTATCAACCAGCCTTACAGCATGGAGCTTTATCAACCAGCCTTACAGCATGGAGCTTTGTCAACCAGCCTTACAGCATGGAGCTTTATCAACCAGCCTTACAGCATGGAGCTTTATCAACCAGCCTTACAGCATGGAGCTTTATCAACCAGC